GTCTCTCTGAGCAAAGCGGGGCGGGCAGCGACTCGGGTTGGGTTGGGGCGGGAGAGGCTGCTGGTGAGGGCTGCAGCGGGTCCTCAGGCCCGGGCCCTGCTCCTCGTGGTGGCCTCCTAAGGAGTCGCCAAGAATGTGTGAAGCCCCGCCTTCCCAATCTCCCACCCCAATGCATACTTCAGGGTCCCCTAGTCCACCCCCAACTCCAAACTACATTATCTACTTGGATAGTCCACAAATGAGCGTGCCTCTTTTTAAGTTAAAAAAGTACACACTCTTGGTTAAGAATGTAAATAAAACAGCGGCGTTTTAAGGGTGGAGTGGAAGGCCCCAGCCAACCGGTTCTTCACGATGAACACCCCTTGGTCTCACCGGGCCTTCTTAACAAAAATTAAAATGGGGCCGCGCCCCCCAGGTCCCTCACTATTTCTTCTCTTTCCTCAATCATCTCCCACAGGACCAGGAGGTCAGTCCATAGACCTCTCTCTCCTAGCCAGCTCCTGTGACAAGGAGGGCTTAGGCATCACTGTAGGTCTCACAGGCAGATTCTGCTCCCTCTACCTGGGGCTGGTGTCCCTGGGGCACTGGCCACCTCCGTCATTCCTTCTCTAAGCATCCACTGCCCTAGGTGCCCAAGGGGTGATGGGTAAGATCCTTTCCCCAGAAAGAGAGGGGTGCAAAGAGAAGGGGGAGGGAAACAGGTTAAAAGGAGCCGCCTTCTGGCTGTTCGAAGCCCCCTGTGTGTCCCACGGGGACTGGGGCTTGTGCCCGCTCATTCCCCTCACCATACCCTGTTGAAGAAACAGCTCAGAGAAGAGATGCCTGCCCCAGGTCACCCTTCTGGGACTCAGTCCCCATCTGTTTGACTCCAAAGTCCTTTCTTTTCCCACTGCCCCGTAAACCTGGGGCCGGCCGATCCCTCCATCCCAGTACAGGAATGTGGCGGCTTGGAAGAGGGAAAGGAGCCACACAGCCGCCCTCTCCATTGTGTCTAAAGCCCAAACCAGATCCCCTAGTCTAGCCCCTCCCTTTGCTCCTCATGCCACACTTGAAATAACATCCACGGCCACCTGCCGTCGGACCGCCGCCCGCCACCCCTCATCACTGCTGCATGTGGCCAATAACGCTGACCCTCCTGTTCCTGAAACACATCACCTTCCTTCCTACCTCGGGGCCTTGGCACATCCTGTCGTCTCCATCTGGAAACTTCCCTCATTTCCTGAAAAGTCTCCATCGCTCTCTTCCTCCAGGTCTCGGCTCAAACGTCACCTCCTTCGAGGGCCCTCCCTGAACACCCCTCTCACCCATCGCTCTCTGGCCCTTACTTGTTCCCCCTGCATTATTCTTAGTCACTACCTGATGTTATATGATTATTTGTGTATTTGCTTTTTGTCTGCCTCGCCCACTCGGATGTCAGCGAACCGAGGGCAGTATCTTATTTCCCACTGTATCCCAGCACCTAGAACAAGAACACCTAGCACCCAGTGTGCGTTCAATTACTGTACAGTAAATGAATGAACAACAGCCCCGGATGTAGAAGTGAAAAATGTTCATGTTCGCAGCTCTCAGAATCAAAGCCTGGTCCCCATGAGAGAGAGGGAGAGGCGTCTCTCACCTGGAGAAGGGGCGAGTCCTCCAGAAGGAGATAGCCTCCCAGCCCCATGTGGTGTGCATGTTTCCTCCAACACAAAACCAGGAGAACTCCTCTTCATCCCTCAAAACCCTTCATGGCACTGCTTTCTCCTAGATAGCAGTCACCTATTGCGGGCAGGATTCCCCTTGGGGACTTTGGAGGTGGTGCTGGCCCACTCTCCAAGAGGTAGGGTTTGGAACGTGGACCAGCGTTGAAGGCAGGTGGCTGGCACTGAGGTTTTAGTCCCTGATCTGCCTGCCATGTTGAAAAGGCTTTGGGACCCTTACCTGAGAGAGGGAAGAGAGGTGCTGCAGATTGCCCCAAGGGAGACAGAAGTCCAGACCTTGTCCTCAGGGAGTGTGCACTCCATTGAGGGGATAGTGAAAGCATTTCTTGTGCAGGAGGAGGCAGAATGGTGGAGGGGACAATGCCTGGTGGGCAGAGAGCTGCCACGTGGGCTCTGCCACATGGTTCGGTGCTGGTCCCAAGCCTGAGTGAGGCCTGGGGGCGCCCACTGGTATAACCAAATGAACAGCTAGCAATTATTAAGCACTTATTCTCTGCCAGGCAGAGATCCAAGTGCTTTAGAGGAATTAACGCTCCCAGGATATGGGAACCATTATTATGATCACCAATTTATAGATGAGGAAACTGAGTTCCAAAGAGGCCAAGAGCTTTGCTGAAGATCACACAGCCATTGAGCGGTAGAGCCAGGATTCAAACAACCCCTGAGGGGCCCCAGAGGCTCCTAAACCCACCCATTTGCCGAATGAACGAATTTGACAAGTTCGCGCCTGTCCAAAACTCTCTCTCCCACTGGCCTCGGTGCCCACACATCCATCACTAAGAAATGCTATGATTATGCTGCCAGTGTCACCACCGCCCAGCACACGTCCGTCTCCGGACACAGGAAATGATCACAATAGCCAACCTTGCAAGGAAAGTGTTATCACCCCGTTTTACAGAGGAGAAGACTGAGGCCATGAGAACGCTAGGAACCAGAACCCAAATCTGACCGCACCACTCCAGACTGTCTGTACAGCCTACTCACTTTTTAAATTGCAAACACTCCTGGGAAAGGAAGTACACTAAATGTCATTGTCATTTACATCTATTGGTAAGGATATTGCCCAGCTGCTAAAAATCACGATGCTGAACTAATGGAAGAGGGTTGGGGGTTGAGGAGTGAGAGGGGAAAGGGCATGGTTTCAGAACACTAGGGGCTGTGAGAAAGCTGAGTGGGGTGGGTACCAGAAGAGCGTAATGGGTGTGAAAGGAAGTGGGGTGCGGATCAGAAAATAGATTTTCAGCACTTCCTAGTTTTTTGTTGTTGTTGTTGTTGGTGTTTTTCAGCGTCTGCAGCTTGAGAGGGAAGAAGTTGGCTCTGTCCCAGAGATACTGTGTGACCTCCACGGACCTGTGTCCTTTCTGGAGCCACTGGTTCCCAGGGCTCTCCGCTTGGACATACTCATCTCCACCTCTGGGCTGAGTGCATCGGAAAGGCTGACATGGAGGCAGCTGTGGCACTCTGTACCTGCAGCTCCCGCCACGGTGAGCAGGTGGACCCTAGTTGCACCGTTCAATGAAGCAGACCTTGAAGTCCCCCGAAGTCGCCCAATGCACAGAGATGGCTACATGCTCTCTGAGGCCACCTGGGTGTCTGCAGCCCAGAAATGGTCATGGACATAGCTGATCTGTCCCGCAGCTCACCGGATCCCAGATGCTCAGGCCAGGTGGTACCTCCTTCCATACATTCCCAGCCTCTGCGGGGACATCCCTGAATGCCAGAAAAAAAGCACAACTCTTCACTGAGCCCCTACTGTGTGCCACAGGCTCTCGCTAGGTGCCTCACACACTCTTATTCAATCCTCACAATGGCAGATGGAACAAGACCTCAGAGGGTGAAGCAATTTGTCCAGAGGGCCCAGAGCCAGATTTGAATCCAGGCTTGATAGCTCTCACTTTCCGCTCCTGCCCCCTTGCTGAGGAAAGTCCTGCCCCAGCCTCACAGCTCGAGGGCTCCTAGGGCCCCAGGCTCCTGCTGCTCCTGAAGGCCTCCCTCCTCTGCGGGGACATCCTCCTTCGGCCGGTCAGGGAGGAGGGGAGTGAGGGAAGGCTCCAAGGCAGTCACATCAAGCCCAGGAAGTCCCCTTGCTGTCTTTCTCCTGAAGGAGGCAGCTAAGGGAAAAACCGTCGGTGGGGTCTGGGGGCGTTAAAGGACAGAGCCCAGCAGTACACTGTTAGCTGCGATGGCCCAGGGCACTGTTGGGCCACCCTGGGGTGGGGGCAAGCATGAAAGAGCTTGGCGGGACCCAGACAGGGACGTGACGCTCGCAACGAAGTTTCTGAGACTTTTGGCCATTTCGTTCTCACTTCCGCCAAGTCCTCCTGCCAGGCCCAAGGGACTTGGTGGGGTTTCCACGACGACTTCCTCCACAGTGCCTCTCCTCTCTGCCTGGCTGGTTCTTCTGCCTCCATCTGGCTCCCCGGCGGCCCTGGTGGGTCTGGACCCTCACGTGAGGCCTGTGATGGGAGCCTCCTCTGGGGGGGCATCTCTGAGGCTTTCTCCCTCAGAGGCAGCAGGTGTGGCCAGGCTCTCAGGGACCTCTGGGGTGGGATCTGTGGATGGGTCAGGGGAGGCTTCATCACAGGGGCTAGAGGCTGAGCTGGCAGTGGGTCCAGGGGTCTGGGCCTCAGGGCTAGGCTGCGGCTGAGCCTCAGCGTCCAGCTGGGGCTGGGCCGTGGAATTTAGCTGAGGCTGGACCACAGACTCCGGCGGTGGTGAGGCCATGGGATCTGCCAGTGGCTGGGCCACAGAATCCAACCGTGGCTGGGCCTTGGGGTTTGCAGGTGCCATGAGGGTCGTCTGTGGCTGGGCCGTGGGGCTCGCCTGTGACTGGGCCTCCGTGGTTGGCTCTGGCAGAGTCTGCCCCGCAGAGTCCACTTGGGTTTGCGACTCGGCCGGCGTGACGCTGCCTGGCCGCTCCTCGCAGAGCGCCGCAGCGAAGGCGGAGAGGACGGTGCGCAGCAGTGCCCGGAGGTCGGCGCTGGCCAGGAGGCAGAGGAAGGGACTCAGGCAGCTGTTGAGCAGGATCAGGTAGTCGGAGTAGACCAGCGCCTCCCAGAGCAGGTAGCCCGGGTAGATGTCCCACAAGAAGGCCAGGTACAGCAGCTGTGCCAGCTGGTAAGGCAGCCGCAGGACCACGTAGGCTGACAAAACGGTCTTGGCCACACGGGCAAAACCGCGGCAGGCGGCGGGCCTCGGCCGGCGGCGGCAGGTCTTGCAGGCAGCGGCCTGGGTGAGCGCGTGGCAGACGAGCAGCAAGAGGAATGGCAGGAAGCCTCCCAGGATCTCCAGCATCCGCAGCGGCAGCTCCTCGCTGTCCCAGAAGTCCAGGCAGATGACCAGGTCGTACCACCAGTCAGCAGCCTCGGGGAAGACCAGCCAGGGCACACTGAAGAGCGTGGCCAGCACCCAGACCCCAGCGCAGACCCAGAGAGGCAGGCGGACTGGGCGGCGCCCAGGGTACCAGCGCGGGCAGAGCGCCAGCAGGCAGCGGTCCAGGCTGAGGGCTGCCAGCAAGAAGAGGCCAGAGGAGTAGGACACACCCCACAGGAAGTAGTAGAAGCGGCAGGCTGCTGTCCCCAGCGGCCAGTGCCCTCCATGCTGGATCTCTAGGATCTGGAAGGCTGCTGCCGCCAGGAACAAGAAGTCGGAGAGGGCCAGGCTGAGCAGGAGCAGGGCCAGCCGCGTGCCTGCTCCCCGCCGGGCCTGTGAGCCGGCCAGCCACGCCATGAGCCCATTGGCCGGCAGCCCCAGGAGCAGCAGGGCCACCAGGAAGACCGTGTCCCAGCCGCCCTGGGGGTAGTAGTCCTCGTCATCCAGCTCTGTGCGGGGCCTGTGGCCGGAGATGCCCAGGTTGGCTGCCATAGCGGCGTCCACCTGAGGTCCCCAGTGTACTGCTACACACGGAATGGGCTCCTAGGGAATTAAAGGAGGCATGGAAGATTGGGTGTGAGTGAGTGCTGTGCATCTCCAGACACATCACTGTCCCTCTCTGGGCCATCATCATCACCTTTTGGGTAGCTACCCTGTACCAGGGACTTTAATAGATTACCTCGTTTAGTCTTCATGCGATCCATTTTGCGGATGAGGAGAGGAAGTTTCAGACGATCATGAGCTGCCCAAGGTCACAGGTAGGGAGGGAGGGAGGTACCAGGCCTCAGACCTGACCATTCTTTTTTTTTCTAGACCTGACCACTCTGCCACACGGAATCTCAGAAAGCCTCTCAGACTAAACTGGAGGCTTGCAAACATATTTTTAAAGCCGATGACTCTTTTAAATAAAATATTATAGTGTAACATCGGTGAACTAAGAGGGATGCTCAGGTTCAAGGCAAGGAGGTCACCCCTAGGGCTCCAGGGAACAGTTTGAAAACCACATGGTCAGATCATTGCAGGCTCTTTTTGTCTGGTATTCTGGGGTTCAGGTGTTTAAGATTCCAGGAAGGGCAGGCTCAGGTCCCATGGCCTGCAGGAATCCGAGGGTGGACAGGTAGCCTGGGGCCAAGGACAGCCCACCCCGCAGTGAGTGCAGCTCATGACCTCAGGGCGAGTGAGGTCTGAGGCTCAGGGCCTGGGTGGCCTGGAGCCAGGAGGGCTGTCCCGGGAGCAACTGGAGCCTCTTCATCACCCCCAGCCTTCCTATGGCCCCCTCCCCATTCTCACCGCTCAGGTGGAAGGTGGCCCCCCATCTGTCCTCTGGGGCTACTAAACAGAGAAGGGGGCTCTGCAGGGTGATGACGGTGAGGGTGGCTGCTACCCGCCGCTTCCCTTGCTGGTGGAGTGAGTGTCCCTCTGGGGACACAGAAAGCCCTGCTGGCAGTGCGGAGTCGGGGACAGAAGCAGATGCCCCAGGAAGCCTGGACCTCGCCTGTGGCCCATGGCGCCAGCCGGTTGCCCTTTAGCCGGGGACCTCCTCTCCTCCGCTCGGCTCCAGGGCTCTTCCTCAGGCAGACCCCACTCTGTGAGCTCCAGTCCCTTCTAGAGCAGAGCCCTGGGCTCCCCAGGCGACCGCTGAAGCTTGGCTTACCTGTGAGGTGCAGGTTGCTGGCCGGAAGGAGCAGGGCGTGCCTGCCTGCCCAGTGGTCCAGCCGTCCGCAGGGCCCACGCTGGGGCCTGCCGCATGGTGCCCGGCAGCGCTAAGGCGTCCTGCACGAAACCCAAGCTGAGACGACATCAATCATTCATGGGGCTGCTCACTGGGAAACCCTAACCTCGGCCCAGGAGGGCCAAGCGACCAGCCAGGCTCGAAAATGCCAGGTGGCTGAAATCCCCTCCCTCTGGTCCCCTTCAGCTCAGTGCAGGCTCTGGGTACCCCGGGGTCTACCTCCTCTGACCTCACCCCCAGGGCCCTCCATCCGGCGTTCAAGGCCTCTGCGATCCAGCCTTTCTTGCTCAACTTCACACATCCTCTGCTCCAGCCAGGATGTCACCCATGAGGGGGCTGCCCTGGGCAAGTCATCCTACCTTGCCCACCTCCCAGCTTCTGCCCACACTTCCTCCTGCCTGAGACGCCTTCCCTTGTCCTCTCCGAGCTAAGTCCCACGTCACACAACTGGGCTGAGTGCTGGACTCTTCGGCAATAGCGCCCCCATTTTATAGACGAGGCAACTGAGGCTTAGGGGTGAATTTGCTGGGTCTCCCAGCTCATAAGTGGCAGAGCCTGAGTTCAGAGCTCACTGCGGCCACCATGTGCTGGCACCCCTTGTTGCTGAGGACATCTCTTGACCCATCTGGCTCTGCCTTGGCCACAGGGGGCAAAAGGGTGGGGATTAGGGCCTAGGCTGCCTGCTTCCCTTACCCTAATCCCGCTCAGGGCCCAATCCCGGGCCATCGGCTCTCAGGGTGCATAAGCCGCTTTACGGGTTTCGAGAGCCAAGGGTGCTCCCTGGTGCTGCACCTCTGAGCCCTGTCGCCCCTCTCCTCATGGCCACAGAGCAGGCAAAGGGGCAGCGTGGCCCAGACCCAGCCCCTGGTCCCCAGAAGCCACAGGTGGGGGTTGTGGCTCCCGAGAGTGGTGCTGAGGGACAGCCCTTGCCCAGGAGGAGGAGCAAGAGAGAGACGGGGCTCCGAGGGTCCCGAAAGGGCACTGGCAGCTCTGGGGTGCAGACCCCCGTCCAGGACCCCAAGGCCCCCGGGAGCAGCCAGAACCCCTCTAGGACTGAAGAAGGGCAGGAGCCAGCACCTGCAGCCCCCGGGCCAGCCTCTCGTCGCCAGTCCCATCGGCATCGCCCCGGCCCCCAGCATGATGCTGCTCAGAAGACCTACGGGCCCCTGCTCAACCGCATCTTCGGGAAGGTCAGGTGGGGCCCAGGCAGGGCTGGGGGACATGGAGTGGGGACTCACGCCCTCAGGTTCGGCCCACCCTGCCGCTAGAACTCAGGCCTCCTGCTGCTTCTGCTCTAGACTCTGCAGCCTGGGCAGTGGGGCAGGGTTTCTGGAGATCGGGGAAGGGTAGGTCTTAGGCCACCCGGGCGGTAGGAGGACCTCAAACCTAGGGTTCTGTGAGAGCTAAGGGCTCAGGAGCAGGAAAGGGGGTCATCTCTTTTCTTGGGGCCCACGAGACTTCAGCTGCCTTCTCCTGCCCTTGTGGGACTGGCCCTGCTCAGGCCAGTGTGGGCAGGGGCTGGAGCAGGCAGGGTGATTAGAGCCCTGGCGACTATGCCCCTACAGGACCGTGAGCTGGGCCCCGAGGAGCTGGACGGTGAGTGACCGTCGCTGGCGGCGGTGGGTGGGAGGTGTCCCTGAGCCTGGCACCTGGGCCTGACCGCCCTCCGCTGCAGAGCTTCAGGCCGCCTTCGAGGAGTTTGACACTGACCGTGACGGCTACATCGGCTACCGGGACCTGGGCGCCTGCATGCGGACACTGGGGTACATGCCCACCGAGATGGAGCTGATCGAGATTTCACAGCACGTCAAGATGCGAAGTCAGTGCCTGATCCCGCCTGCCTGGGGCGGCTCTGGGAGTCAGCGGGGCTGACGGGAGGTGGGGACATGACAGTTTCCAAGGCAGTCTTGACAGTCTGACATTGGCCCCGTCAGATGCGGGGACACTGGGGGGCACCAAAGGAAGGCACCAAGATCCAGGAGAGGCCCTTGGGGCTCTTTCGGGGCTTGGGTTGAAGAATCCTGCCCCTGATCTTGTGCTGAAGTGCTCCCTGCTGGTACCGGCCACCTCGCTCTCTGTCTCTGTCTCTGTGTCTGTCACGCTTTGTCTTCTGAAAAGAGCCTCCTGAATAGCGTGTCGGAATTCCGGCCATTCCCTGTGATGAAGTGTCAGATGGGCGGACACTGTGTGATCATCCTCAGCTGATGTGTCAAATATCAGATTCCCTCCGATCGAGGACACCTGCTTTCGTTTTCTCTTTCCGGTTTCCCAAGTGGGGGGTGACGTACAATGGACGCGAACATTTCAGGTCACGCTCCTTTTCTTTCCCCAAGGCCGTTGTCTGATCATTGGTATTTTTTTATAATTGATGGCATCCTAGAACCGAGGGACGACATGGATACGCTTCTTCAGGGGCATTTACTTTTGCCCATGGGCTCCACGCATGTGGTAGCCATGAACTCCAACTCCAACAGCATCTCAGGCATAGGTTCTTTTGTCCCCAACCTAGGGGAAGGTGGTTTAGTCAGTCACCCAGGGCCATGCACCATAAGCAGCAGACCCCGGGGTGAAACGGGCTGTCTGGTTCCAAAGCCTGGTCTCTACACCACACCTGGGTGCTCCACTGAGCAAACCCCCAGCAGAAAGTGGGACTCCTGCCCCCCACCCCGCCGAGGGCATGGACGCTGGGCTTTCCTTCCTGGATGCAGAGCTAGGCAGGGGCTGGCCCTCATGATGTCCCTCCGTGGGTCCCTCCATCGTGACACTCTGCCTGGGTCTGCAGTGGGGGGCCGCGTGGACTTCGAGGAGTTTGTGGAACTCATGGGCCCAAAGCTGAGGGAGGAGACAGCGCACATGCTGGGGGTGCGGGAGCTGCGCATCGCCTTCCGTGAGGTGCGGGGCGGGGCGGGGCGGGGCCCGGGAGGGGTGCTGGACAGCGGGTGCAGTGGAGGCGGGTGGGCTCGGGAGGGAGGGGAGGGCGGCTGGATGGCCAGCCTGGGCCAGGGAAAATGGGGGGCCTCAGTTTCTGAAGACCCAGGACCCTGCATACAGTGGGGTTAGGGCCAGGGAGAGGGTTTGGACCCAGCCATGGAGAATTCCCGGAGCGGGAGGGGGACGGTTTGCCCGTGAAGGTCAGGGCTTTCAAGCACAGCACCAGCGGGAAGGTGGTAAGGTGGAGATGGTGTCGGCTTTGGGCGGGAGAGGCTGAGCCCCGCCGGGATCCTAGTTTGACAGGGACAGGGATGGACGAATTACAGTGGCAGAGCTGCGACAGGCAGCACCGGCTCTGCTCGGGGAGCCGCTGGTGGATCCTGAGCTGGATGAGATGCTCCGAGATGTGGACCGCAACGGAGACGGCACTGTAGACTTCGATGGTGAGTGTCCCTCCCAGACAAACACTCCCTCTACCCCACCCCAGCTCCCAGACTGAGCCCAGCACCTGCTGGGATGACCTGGACCGACCCAGCCCCGCCCTTTCTCTCCTGCAGAGTTTGTGATGATGCTTTCCATTCACTGAGGCTCCGGGAGGGAGACTGCATTGCCCCTCTGACCCCAGACCAGCTGAGTTTATGCTGCATACCCTCCCACGGAGGTCCCAGGATGGGAGAGACCAGCAGCCCTCAGGGCTTCCTCTGCCCGTGACAACACCTGGTGGGAGAACTGGCTTGTGATGTCACCTGCCCATCCTCATCTTCACCCCCCTCCCACCTGAGCTGCCTGGAGAAAACCTGCCCTCAGCTGCCTGTCATTCCCCAGGGTGAGCAAGATTTGGATCCCTGCAGTCCTTCAAGACGTAGGGAGCTCCCTGGAGCTGGCGGCATTCAAGGATGAGCGATTGAGAGGGTAGCTGGACGCCTCCCACTATTTATGTATAGAAATGTTAAAAAAAGCTGAACTTGAAAGGAAGAAAGGGAGGACCCTAGGTACCAAAGACAAAGAGAGAACTCCAAGCTGGATGGCAGGATGGAGCAGACGCTGTGAGTGCTTCCGACCTGGAGGTTTGAGAGCCTGGGTTCTGACTCCCAGGAATGGCAAAAGACTTGTCAGAGGCTGAGGAGTAAGACATGACCTTGAGCACATTCCAGGGTCTCGAAGGGGTGCCCTGTTCTTGAACAGACTCCCAGGAATGGCAAAAGACTTGTCAGAGGCTGGGGAGTAAGACTTGAGCACATTCCAGGGTCTCGAAGGGGTACCCTGTTCTTGAACAGGGAACCGATATATAACTCCACCTACCAGCTTGAGGAATTGGCAAGGATACAGATGTCCAGGGCCTTGAGTGGAGAAGCGATCCTAGAGAACCCCAAACTCAGGCCTGCATGGCAAGCAGGAGTGTGATCCAGCTCCACGGTGGGGAACGCTGAAGAAATAGGAAAAATTGCTGAGAAGGACATTCTTTTAACCTGGGGCACGTGGGACTTACACACACACACACACACACACACACACACAGAACCATCGCTTCTGAAGATAAACTCATGACGAAAAATGACAAATCACAAAAGGAAACAAGTCACTCTGAGGGAGACTAGGTAGATGCGACAAACAGGAGGATTGGCACCCCAAAGTGTAAATAGCGGAGCCATCTAAAAGAGACCGTAAAGTGATGCGAAATAAATAAATAAATAAATAGATAGATAGATAGATAGATAAATAAATAAATAAATGAGATAAAAGAAAGTGAGACCAATATGCAGTATCCGGATAGTATTACAATTTAACAGGAAGATTTGGGGAAAAAATAACACAATGGAACTTCTAAAAATAAAGGATATAGCCCTTGGAATGAAAAAAAATCAATGGATAAGTTAAATAACAGATTATAAACGATTTAAGAGACGATTAATGAACTGGAAGCTATTATCTGAGAAATAATCCATAAGGTAGCGCTAAAGGATAAAATGATGGAGAACATTAAAGGGTAGCTAAAAGTCATTAGGAGTCTGGGAAGGAAAAAATAGAGAGTGGACGTGAGGCCATTTTCAAAGAGACGACGACTGAAATTTTCCCTAAAGATTTCCACAAGCACAAGTGCCCAGAACGAAGGGACACATTGGAGCCAGAGAAGGATAAATAAAAACAAATGTGTATCCAGCTGCATCCCAGGGAAACTGCAGAATACAAAAGGAAAGCCAAAGCCTCCCACCCACGCACTCTCATGGACGGGGCGGCTTCGGCGAGAAGGACGTTCAACGCAGAAGGAAGGCAGAGTCTGTACTAGGTGATGGTCAGGAAAAAAATCGCACTAGTAAAAAAATTAATTCGGGGGATTTTCAAAACAAGGAGCAGCTAAAATCATAGACAAAAACAAATGGAAGGTGGAAGGGGACACTTTAGACAGGCTGAAATCTTTTTCTCGTTTTTCCTGGAGGAGGATAGATTAAGGTAACTTAATTTTATGTTTCACGCCTACAAGCACCTGGTCTTCCTAGGTGGTCTCCCATCCAAGTACTAACCACGCCCGACCCTGCTTAGCTTCCGACATCAGACGGGATCGGGCTGGTTCAGGGTAGCAGGGTCATAGACTGATTAAGAAACGTTAGACTATTTTTTAACCGTTTAAGGGTAACCACTAATATACTATACATAGAGATAGAATGTTCTATTCAATAGTGAACTCAATAGAGGAGGAAGAGGGGGAAAGTGAAGAGCTTTTGATTAAGCCAGGAGGAGGCTGGGAAAGAAGGAAAAAAAAAAAGCAAAGAAAAACAAAGTCCGTAGAAAACATTAAAACAGAGGTAGAAATGATCCTTTAAAAAGAACTAAAAATGACAATAAACATAAACAGATTAAGTTAAAAGTCTGAGTCTCCGTCCCAGATGAAATTATCAATATTAGATTGGGTTCCCTGTGAATGATAGAGACTCCCAATAACAATACCTTAAACTGGATAGAAATTGACTTTCTGCACAGGAAATCTCAGATGAAATCCATCTGTACGATCTTCAGGGACCTGAGCTCCTTCTACTGGATGCTCTGCCATTCCTAGGGTGTGCCCATGTGTGTTTGTTTTCCAGGAGGCAGGTTGGAGGCAGGAACAAAGGAGAAAGGGGCAAAGAGCATGAACCACATAATTATACCCCATTAGGCAGGGTTCTTCACCTCCTGGTGCACCCAGCTGCAGAGGATGCTAGGAAATGCGATCCTTGTTTTGGGTGGCCATGTGCCAAGATTCTGCAACTACCGAAGGGCAGAGGACAGATACCAAAGGGCAGATATCAGGCTCTTCCCCACAGCCGAGCACAGGAGAGAAGAGACACGTCAAAAACATAACTGAGAGGCCGAAAGTGTTGGCTTGGAAAAATGATTCGCTAGGAGAAAATTAACCAAAAGAAAGCGATGGGCTATGAGGCAAGAAGCACTGGAGAGAAATAAAGTCACAATTCCCTAAGGAAATCTAATGTCCCTAATGTATGCAACTATTAATGTGTTTTTCAACTAAAATTCAGTTATAGAGTTCAGATATTCACTATACCTTGAAGGTAGTGTTGCTGTCAATCCAACTTGGACGACATCAATTAACCAGCAAACATCAGTCACTTTAAACGTTTTGATTCGGTGTTCTGTCAGTGTTCACATAGGCCAAGGCTTGACAAACGTTTTCCGTAAGTGGCGGGAGAGTAAAGATTCAGGCCGAGGACCATGTGGGGTTCTCCGGCAACTGCTGGACTCTGTGGCTATAGTTTGTGTCTCCAAGCAGCTGGAATCGACACGTAAACAAGTGGGCGTGGCTGTTGGAACTTTAATAAATAAGAATTAATTCAACTGGATTGATGGACACTGAAATTTGAATTTTATAAACTTTATGTGTCACAAAATCTTATTTTATTCTTTGACTTTTTTCCCACCATTTCTGAAATGTGAAAACCATTTTTAGCTCGGGGGCCCTGTTGGGCTGTGGGCTGTAGCTTGCTGACTCCTGATAGTCTCGTAATATGGAGAAACACTACTTCCGGATCACTTTGTTAAGATCGTTGAATGACAAAAAGTTATGAGGGTAGTAGCAACTCTGTGTATCAATTTGCCGATTTGCTCACTTTCGATGGTTTTTGTAATTTCTCTTTTTTCCTATGTTCTGATTTTATTTACTGAAATGTAATTTTATGTCATTAATCTGGTAATACAAACTATGGGCTTGATTCTATGTCTTTGTTTTTTTATTTCACGTTTCGAGTTTTTATCTTATGAAATGATTGGTCCGTGACAGATTAGGAATGAAAACTGGTGCTTTCACGCAGCTAGTTTGAGAACCACTCACTGACTTAGCAGTTCCGGCATCCACGTGGTGCCTTGACCAGGGGGCTGTGGGTCGGATGTCCAGATGGGCCAGGCAGCAGGGCTCTGGGTGTCCACGTTTTTTTTTCAATGAAGTCACAGAAACCCAAAGGCACTGCATACACGGTGGAGGCCAGGCCTGGCCAAGTCCCTTCTTAATGGCACTCGCGTTTCACTAGGGGAGACAGACTGTAAACGTGTAATAACAGGGACAGGGTCTCCTCGGCCCACACGTGTTCATCCAGTCCCTCCGTTAGCAGCTCGGTGTCCCACCCCTCCACACTGGTGTCATGGAAACCCTGGGTTATGTTCCTAACTCTGCCTTTGGGTGAGTCATGTCTCTCTAGACTTTGGTTTCCTTATCTGTAAAATGGGGCTTAGGTGGTAAGGACTAGAAATCACCTGTGTTAAGTGCTTAATGCAGGACCTGGTGACTTCTAAGAGTTTGATAAATGGTAGCTATTACAACCTCAGATTTCAGAGTTCCCCCCAAGATTTTTTCCTGGTTCTTAAGATTCTGAGATGCCTGGATTTTCCAAAATTCTGAGATGGTCGAGAACCAGTGTTCTGTGGTTCTAAGAGTCTTTGATCACTGAGGTTCACTGTCACGTGGACCCTGCTTTCCATGTCCTTTGTCCTCTATTTCTCCCAATCTCTGGGCCTAAGAAATAGGCCAGCGGGTGGAGGGGGCTGGGCCCCTGCCTTGTCATGGCCCATATCCTGAGCTGGCTGTGGCAGCCCAGGGCCCCAGAGCCAGGCTGGAACCAGGATAGCAGCCCCCAGGCCCCAGGCCTGCGTCATGAGTGCCCTCGTCCAGGGTAGGGACCAGCGCTGCCCCTCCAGGTTAAGACTCTGCTAAGGCCTGGGGCAGCAGGAGGTGGGGGAGAGGCTCCCCCAGGCTTGCAGGGCAGGACGGCCCCCGGCCCAGCTCTGCCCCTAAGAGCAGCCTTGAGTCCTGGAGCACTGGGCTGTCCTGTGCACCGTGGGGAGACGGGTGGTCCTGGTGCCCTTCAGCCCCAGGGTCAACCCTTTTCCCAGCCTTTGCAGGAGGGGGCGGTGGCCAGGCTGGTTGCCTGTGCAGGGCTGGTGGAAAAGAAAGAACAATTGTCTCTGCTGGATACAAGTACCCCTTTTATTAGCACAAAACACCACCAACCCAGTAGCCTCGAGGCCTGAGAATAAGTTAAGGCACACACAGAGCAGGCCAGGGGCGACTTTCCCAGGCCCAGACAGTGGGCCGGGGGGCGGGGGGAGGGGCCCGCGCGCCCCAAACTTCCAGAGCAAACGCCCGATGGGGCTGGGGGCTCGAAGGTCCTGCAGGGACTTTTCCGTTGAGATACGGGAACCGGAGAGGCTCGGACCAAGGAGCGCACCCTGGGGACGCGAAGAGGACGCACTGGTCACCCGGGGACGACGTGGATCCTGGCCGTCGGCCAGAGGCTCACTTCTCGAAGTAGGGCAAATAGAAGAACTGGAAGCCCCGGTGGCCCTTGACCGCGCAGTAGATGAAGATCACGTGGTAGACTGTGGGGCGGGGCCAGTCAGTGCCACCGGCGCCGCCACGGCTCCATCCCACCCCGCCCCCGCCCGGCGCCCAATCGCACCTCCCGGGACCAAGAAGAAGAAGCCAGGCACGAAGAAGATGGCGCTGGAGACACCTGTGGGAGCAGACGGGGTCGGATCAGGGAAGAGAGGCGTGGGGCGGGCCAGTGGTCACTGCCTGGGCTAGTCTCACCTTCTGCGTTAAAAGGCTTAGGAGGATGCTGAGTGCTGGAAGTGGGGGGGCTCACCAAGGACACACCCCGCCCCCAGCACAAGAGGGGAGTGAGCGAGCGCCGCCTGCGGAGACAGGAGGGGGCACTCACCTGGCGAGGGAGCCACTTCCAGTCCCACGCCGATCAGGATCAGCACTGCACACAGATGAAGCCGCGAGCGTGAGCAAGGTGCAGGGAGCAGCAGCTGGGGACCTGGCGGGGACCTCCACCCGCAACCCCCAAAAGGGCTTAGGCCTGAGGAATGGTGTCCCCCACCTGAGCTGAAGGTCCCCTGGGCAGAGACCCTCCCCGGGAAGCTCTCCAAGCTCTGTGTTTTCAGAGCCGGGCACCTGGCAGGCCCGGGGGAAAGTCTGTGAAAGGAGAGATTTTTGTCTGCTTCTCCCATGGTCTTTCAGTCAATTGATAAACATTTCTGGAGCACCTGCTGTGTGCCTGGTATCAGAATCCTTGGGGGAATGGTAGATGAGGTCCCTGCCCTCATGGCCCTTCCCTAGTGGGACCAGAAGACCCTCCAAGCTCCCGCCCTGGGGATCAGGATGTGGTGGGGGAAGACTGGGCAACGTGGGAGCCTCAGGGGTCAGTGAGGGGCTTCCTGGAGGCGGTGGCATCTAAGCTGATCAGGGGTGACAGCAGCAATAGCAATTAACATTTAGTGACCACTTACCACGTGCTGCCAGACACTGGGCTAAGCGTGTTACATGCACTGCCTTATTTGGCACCTTGACCAAATGATACAGGTGTTATCCCCATTTCACAGATGAGACTGAGGCACACAGAGGGGAAGGAACTTGCTCGGTGCTGCATTTGGAAGGTGGAGGTGATCTGACTTCAGAGGCTTGGCGATGGGCACCGTGCAGGTGGTAAGGGAAAGTATTTCAGGCAGAGGGAACAGCTTGGCAAAGGCCCAGAGTCTGTAGGAACTCAGGGCTTTCTAGGAACTTCCAACTTTTGGTGACACTGGAGAGACAGCCCAGGCTTGAGGACTTTGGCAGGGCCTGTCAGCCCCAGGGAGGAATGTGGGCTTTGGCTGAGGACAGTAGGCACTACTGAAGAGAAGGTGGAGAGGTCATGGCTGGATCTTAGACCCAGAGAGTCCTGAGTCTCCAGTTAGAGGATGGGATGGGGAAGGTGGGGAGCCGAGCTCTGCAGCGGGGTGGGGGGCATACAGCACGGAGGCCTGCAGGGCCACCGTGGACTCTTATGTGGTTTGTGCCCTGCACAGAGCACCTCACGAAGGGTACAAGGGGGGCTGGAACTCACCCCCTGCACCCTGGCTTAGAGCTGTGGGCTCTGCCCACTCAGAGGAGGCATCCTTTTCCAATTCCTACAAAGGCCCTTTATGGGACCATGGTGGACCCCAGGCCTGGCAATGTCACTGATGTGGGTTTAAATCCCAGCTTGTCTTCTTAGCTGTGACCTGAGGAAGTCCCTTCACCTGAGTGTGTGTCCTCCTTTCTGGATTGGGAGGATAATTATGCTTGCCCTGTTGGGTGTCGACAGAGAGGATCAAATGAGATAAGGCAGGTGGCTAGTGCGACCAGTGACTGCGGGCGGTGGGTGTTAGGGAAGTGGCAGCTCCTTCCCCTGCAGACACCCAGTGCTGAGGCAAGAACGCTGCTCAGCTTTCTGGCTAGGGGACTTGACCTTCCTGGAGGAGGGCGACTGACACAGTGGGGCCTCCTTGTGGGCCCCTCTTGATCCCAACTGTAGATTTTTCCTGGAGACCGTGACTCCTCAGTGCCACACAATGAGCGTGGGAGCCAGAAAGCTTCTGGCTGTGAGATCTGCCTGCTGTGGGCCCAGTGTCCCCATCCAAGCCGTGGGGGTGGGGAAGAGATCCTCGTCAGCTCGGACTCCAGAGAGGGGGATGACAGGTGCCCTGTGCATGAGGCTGGCAGGGCACTTGGCATCGCTGGCCACAGGGACAGGCACCTCCCTGAGCCCTGCCTCTGCGCACAGGTTCTGGGTCGCTGTGTGACCTCTGTAAGGTGCCTTGCACCTGACTCAAAGTAGACAGAATAAATGGTAGCTGTTACTCTTTTGTTCTCTGATGGATGTAACAGGCTAAGTTAAAATTTAAGTTTGGAGTGCTGAACCAGGTACCGTGTCCAACTATGTGCGATTTCCTCCCTGTGTGACCAGGACGGTGGGCCTGCCCCTCTCAAGGCCTCAGTTTCCTCAACTGTAAAATGGGGGTGATGGCAGCCAGCTGCCTCCTCAGGAGGCAGTGTGCCAAGGGGGATGCAGAACCTGCAGAAAAGGAGGGTGGACCCCCTCACGGGGGCTCGCACTCACCCAGCCCCAGCAGCAACAGCACGAAGGAGGCCAGCACTACCCTGCGGTTCTTCTGGATTAAAGGGTGTTGAGTCCAGCTGGGTGGCAGGAGAGCAGGATGGGTGTGAGAGAGGGGACAAGAGGCCCGTCCCCTCCTGTCACCCTCCCCCACCCAGAGGGCTGAGGGAATAGCCCGGGCTGCCTGTACTGGAGCATGGGCCACAAATGGGCTCCAGGAGGGCAGGGTCTCACCTGCAGCAGGCATTGTAGGAGCGCTGGGTGGTGTTGCTGATGGTGCTAAAGGACCAGCTGCGGATGGAGGTTCGGCCAGAATCCCTGCAGGACAGGTGGACCCAGTAAGGGGGTGGGGGCGGGGGCGGGGACTAGGGCTGGGTGTTTCTGCAGGACAGGGCGCACTGAGAAGGGGCAGGAGTGAAGAGGAATTCAAGGGCTGGAGGTTTCTGCAGGAAGGCTGAGGATTCAAGCTAGGGACTCTTTCCTGCAGGACAAGTGACCTGTGGGAGCCTGGAGGTTTCTGCAAGATAAAGAACCTGGGGGCGTGGGGAGAGGTGAGTAAGGCTGGCACTAGGGTAGGGTGACCCTGGGAGGAGTGGGGATCAATCAGGCTAGGAGCCCTGGCTGGACAGGATGTGAGAGAGCTGAGTGAGGCAAAGGACTGGTCAGGGACCTGGGGACAGGAGCCAGAGGCATGGGGCTAGGGGTATGGGGTAGATCCCCACCTGGCCCTGACCTGGTGCTGACTCCCCCGTCTGGCTCCGGGGAGGCCGGGGCTCCGTCCTCATCGTTCTCCAGGTTCTATTCCAGAACATAGGGCTCAAGGGTTACGGGGCTCAGGTCCTTCCTCATCACCCTCTCAGGGAGGGGAGGAAAGCAAGCCCATACAGCTGTTTGCCTGGCCGCTTGACAGCTGCTCACCTGGCCCTCCACCCTCCCCGAAGAACGGGTTTGATGAGTCACAGAAACCGAAACCCAGGTAGTAGGTGGGAGCTGGGAGCTTTGGGGGGCAGGAACAGCATCAGCTGGTTGAAGGCTCCTGGCATGGGTCTTAGAGGAAGGAGATCTCCCAGGTTTAGGAGTCAGGTTGGTATTTCAGGGGCCCGATATGGAAGCTCTGGATTTGCGGTGCCAGGGAAGGGCAGGCCCATGGTTTCCAGGTTTAGGGCACAGGAATCTGGTCCATATCTCCAAGAAAAGTATCCTAGAGTTGGTGGAGGTCCTCTGGGAAAATGGGGATTTCCAGTTTAGTGGGAGTCTTGGTGTGGGCAAGGACTCATCATGTGGGTCTGGTGGGGACTTCCGGCACAGAAGAGGGGATGCAAGTCCCCGTTAGATCACCTGGTCTGGGACTCGGGACTGTTCCAGAGTATGGGCAAGGTCTGGAACAGGTACAGAAGGACTCCCCAGCCCAGCGGAGGGAGGGAGATCGGTACCCAGGATGGGTGAGGGCTCCAGGTGGGATCTCCAGCTGGGGGTGGGAGATGAGCTCCCGGGCTCGGGCCCTGGGCTCTTAAGTGGTAGCTGGGGACCGAAATCAGAGCTGAGAGGGTCTGGGTAGGGCTCTGGACCAGAGGCCACGTCCGGGGATGGTCTCCCGTTCCGGCTAGGGCCTATAGACAGATTGTCCCCTGAGCTGGGGTCCTCCAGGGTCCAGCCTGGGGTCCCGCCCCGAATCGGGCCGGGGGTGAGGAGGGCCGGACCAGTCCGGTCACCTGGTAGCGCGGCCGGGACTGCTTGTCCTCGTCAGCCACCTCGAACCGGGCCCGGCGCTCGAAGTGCAGCGGCCCGAAGCGGGCGACCCCGCTGGATTCGGGCCCAGGGCCAGCATCCTCCAGGGACAGCTCGAAGGCGTCATCGATGCTAAACTGGGGCCGGGCAGAGCTCATGGCCCCAGCCAAGTCAGGCGCCGTGCGCCGTCGCCATCCGCGCCCGCCTGCTCCGCGTCGCCGCGGCTCTGCCCTCGTGCGCAGGCCCCGCCCCGTGCCGTCGTCTTGGGAGCTCGACCGTCTGGCATCCCGGCCGAGGCCCCGCCCTCACGTAACGGCCCCGCCCCCGCCCGCCCTCAGCAGGCCAGATCTGCCGAGCGCCGAGCGGACTAGTGGGCGGGGCCTCTTCTTGTTCCGAACACGCTGAGCCCCGGCGCCGCCCAGCGGCTGTCTCCGCGAGCGACGGCCGGTTCCGCGGTGGGACACAATCCCCAGGCCTGCCCCGTGGGCTTGGAGGGGCTGCCTGCCACGGGCCATCCAACCAGGCCCGACACGCGGCCTTCTGCGTCCCTGCCAGCTGCTCCAGCGTCAGGGAAACTCCTGGGAACTGTTTCCCCACCCTTACCAGGGCCCTGCGCGGGAGGGTTTTTCTCACCACCTTGAAGATGTGTAAACTGAGGCTCAGAGAGTTTATGTGGCTTCCACTCCCTCCAGTCCACTCTCCACGTAGCAGCCAAAGTGATCTAAAAAAATCTCATCATTTTCTCTCTGTTATTCTTAAATAAAACTTTTTTTCAAAGGGTGCTGCTAAGTCACTCTACTGCATAAAGCTATGCCTTGGTTTTCCATTGTGGTTAGAATCAAATCTAAGGCCCGCGAAACTCTAAAAGCTCTGGTCTCTGCCTGCCTCTCCCAGTCTCAAGTTTCCCCCTGCCCTTCTGCTCCCTGCTCAGCCACACAGGCCAAGCTTATTCCCACCTCAGGGTTTTTGCACGTGGTGCTATTACCTATGCCTGGAAAGCACTTGTCACCTCTCAGAGAAGCTCTCTCTGACTATGCAATCTAAAGTGTTTCACAGCACTTACCTGAAATTACAGTTTTATTCACCACTGTGTCTACAGTGTCCAGAAGAGTGTTTGACACTAAGTACATGCTCAATAAATGTTTGTGGGAAAACGAATGAGTGCTTTGTCAAAATCTCAAATGCTTACATGGGGAAGAACTGAGATTTGAAGCCTGCTCCACCTAGCTCCAGAAGTGCTCATTCTCCTCCACCCGCCCATCCCACTTTATTTTATGACTTTATGCAGGGAGTCGGGTCAATCCTGCCTCTCAGTTTGTGAAACGTCATCACTATGAACAATTTCTTTCCTCTTCCCATCTTCCTTCCTCCCCATCCCTTCTGTTCTGCCCCACGTCAGTGTGCCCAGTTGGCTTCCTTGAATCCTGCCTGGCTCCTTACTACACATGGCATTGGCTCCTTTGTGGATGGATGTGTTTGCAATTTACAAATATGGCGGCGTGTATACAACTCATTTTATTGTTTACATTTGTACATTTTTACATTCAACATTAATGTTCTCCACATGTGTCTCATTTGTTGCTTCTACTAGCCACATGTGGTAAATCATGTTGAGCATCCAGCATTTATCGTTATCCACCCCCAACACCCCCCAGTGATGCACGTTCAACTTGGCCTCATGCCCACATCCCGTCACATCATGTTATGTCACGTGCATCACCATTGTGGACATCTTCACACTGTCCCCTTATGGACTGTGGGAAACTTCCAGGCCATAAGCTACATGCACCCTTGACATCACAAAGTATGAGGGAGGCTCTCCCGAGTGGCTGTACAAATTTATACACCCACAATGAGGGTTCTGGGTTTCCTAGCACTTGGCATTCCAGCTTTCTAACGGCTTGCCAGTCTGATGAGTCTAAAGTGGTGCCTTACTTTCATCTGAGGTCTCCGATGACTGGCAAATTTGAACAGCTCTTCGTGCACTTATCAGTCATGGTGGTTCCCTCTTTTGTGCATTGTCTGTTCATATCCTTTCTCTATTTTTTTCTGTTGGGTTTCTAGTCTTTTTTTTTTCTGCTAATTTGCATGTCTGTACATTTTAGTCCCTTGCTGGGTTTTGATATTACACATGTCTCCTCTCATTTGTCTTTGTCACCTTACTTTGTCTAAGGTGCCCTGAGTTAAAGAACAATCCTCATTTTTATATAGTCAAATCTATCATGTTTGTGCTCTTCGAGTCTTGTTTGAAGTGTTTTCTCACCCCGAGGTGACAAAGATGTTCTCCAACATCATTTTCTGCTGGCCTGATAGCTTTAGTTTTGTGTAGAAGAGTGTTGCAACAAGATAGTTCACTGACTCTGGAGCCAAACTGCCTGGGCTAGAATTCTAGTCGTCTCTTTACTAGCTGTGGGATCTTGGTGGTCCAGGACTAGGGTGAGGAGAGTGAGGCATTCCCCCTGGGTGAAAAATTTAAGAGGACACCAAAAACCTCAGTAAGCAAGAACAATAATATTTTAATGCATTATTTCAAAAAATGTTTAAGGCAAAAATCCATAGTGAACAAAATATCAAAATTTTAAATAGAGACTGAGGTAATGGATGACGCTAACAGATGTTTCTAATATTAAACCATTCTTACATTCTTGGAATGAGCCCTACTTGATCTTGAAGTTCTTTTTTTGAAAAAAAATTTTTAATTTTTAATTGTGGTAAAGTAACGTAATTACTATCTTAAACATTTTTAAGTGTGTGGTTCAGTAGTTAAGTATATTCATTCACATTTTTGTACAACCAATCTCCAGAACTTTTTCATCTTGAAAAACAAACTCTAAACTGTACTCAACAACTCTTCATTTCCCCCTCCTCCCGGTCAACCACCATTCAACTTTGTCTCTATGAATTTGACCACTCCAGTACGTCATACAAATGGAATCATATAGTATCTTTTTGCGAATGACATTTATTAATGCATTTTCATATACACTAGTGGATTCAATTAGCTTAACATTTCGTTTAGAATTTTTCATATCTATATTTATTACTAAAATGGTGCATACTTTTCTTGTCTTAGTATATAAATACTTATCTGGTTCAGGAATCAAGATTAAAGTAGTTTTGTAAGATATATTGGTCAGCTTTCCCTCTTTATATATTTTCTGGAACAATATGTATAAGATACAGACTACTTGCTGCTTCAAAATTTGGCAGAACTTGCGTGTAAAAACTTCCTGTTGGTAAAAAAAAAAAAAGCAAAAAACAAACAAAGCATGTTTCCGTTTCACCTCAGAAGTCCCACCTCTCTCAGGGGACTTCTTGTGGGAGGTGAACCAGTGTAAATAGCTGAAGCACTTAGATTAGCACCTGGGGCACAGGAGACCGACAGTAAGCCTTGGCAGTTATGAGGTTCAGATGAAGACAGTGCACAGGCCTCAAGACACTCCCCTTACCCGGTGACCTCGAAAGTGGGGGAAGACTCTTACTATTGTCCTCAGCTAGTGCCCGGGGGCGGAGAGAAACGTTGGTTTTAGCCCCAAAGTACCTCACTTGGGCACCTACTTTGTGCCAGACACTGTGGATTCACCGGTGATGACACACATCCACCACCGACCCCACGCGAGGCTCTTTTAGTCTCCTGGGGCGCTTATGGTTCACACAGGGATGCTGACACCCTGCGTCCCCTCTTACTCCCGGTTTTGTTTTTATTTTTAAAAGAGAAAAATCGAGGAAGCAAAAGTCACGCCTATTGTGCTAGATATGCAAAAGGCAAAGGCCAGAAGGGACTACGCAGAAAGAGTTTTAGGGGTTGGCGTCATGGAGGGGGTCCCCCTCCCCCAAGCCTCTCTCCTAGCTCAGTAATGTTATTACACTATTTCTACAACTTTAAATGGGGTGGCACAAGGCCCTGTGGGAAGGCCGCAGTCCTAACCAATTCACAGACCTGACCGCTAGGGACGCCGCCGCGCCGCCCCGCCTGCTGACCCTGGCCCCACCTCCCTGAAAGGCCCCGGTCCCGCCCCGCGACAGTCTCATGCCCCGCCCCGGATCGGCACGGAGAACCAATCACCGTCCGTTGCCACGTTCAGTCCCCTTTTGGCGTCTGCCCTCAGCCAACATGGCGCCGCCTCGGAAGTTACCGAAGCGCCAGAATTTGCCGAAGCAGGTCCGGAAGCTGCCGAGTGAGTCCGGAAGTTGCCGAAAGAGAGCAGCGGGTGAGAAGGATGGCGGATGTCATCACCAGACTCCGGCAGGACGGGATCCAAAAGCGTGTGATACAGGAGGGCCGAGGAGAGCTCCCTGACTTTAAGGATGGAACCAAGGTTGGTGTCTTCCCCTCTTCCTTCAATCCCTCTGGGGCACGGCGCGCATGCGAGGCGGGAGGAGGCCACAGGCGAGAGGTTGCGCATGCCTAGATAGCAGCGGCTGGTGACCCTGCTGCTCACCTGCGGAGCTCGACGCTGATAGGTCTGAATTTAAGAAGAGAATTTGGATGCTTCTGTCCCGCCCCCGGCTTGGCTGTGTGGATGCATTGGTTGGGGAGGCCGTCAATCACCATAAACAGGTTGTGGGGGGTTGACCTCAGTGCTTGCTCAGACCCGGCCCTGGAGGAGACCTGAGCTGGAAAACCTGGGATCTGGAAGTGGCCCTGGCACTGCGGAGAGGGACCCGGGGCCTCTGGGTTGCAAGGTTCGAGATCATTTAGAGATGGTAGTGTCTCCTTAAAACACATAGATTAGCTCCTATTGTTTAGTTGAGAAAACTTGAGACCCCGGGATGCGCAAACCCAGAGAACGGGCCCAGAATTCAGATCTGCAAGATCAGAACCCTTGGCAGCTTTCCGACTTTCTACCTGGCATCGCTCGGGACAGGTAAAGTCTGGAAAATAAAGCACTTTCCACTTTCTTCCCTCTTGCATCCAGGACCCCCACTCCAGCCTCTCTCGCCTCTTCCCCGCAAAAACCTATGTCTCCAGGCTTCCCTGTTTATGCTGGTGCAGTTCCCTCCTGGAGTGCGTTTTCCAGTTGTCAGTTGTCTGTAAATTAAGGAACTTCCTGGGGATTGCCCCTGTACCCAGCAGGGCAATCATGCGGGACGGGCATACTGAGTGAATGACTAAAGATCCTGGCAGAGACTGGGTACTGTGAATGAACTCATGCTCTCTTACTAGCACTATGCCAAGGTCAGGCAGGTGAAGATCCTAGCCTGGCCCAATGTGAGTGCTCTGAGAGCAGAGGGAAGCTGCATAGCTCTAGTGAACATTTATATTAAGAGGGATCCATT